ACAATCTCAATGACGAATTCATGGACTTGCTTGCTCGACAAAAGAAAGAGAAAGCTCTTACCATTTTAGATAACTTCCATCAGCATAAACTGAGAATTTATGATCCTCTTTCTTGCTTGAAGATTGAAGTTGCAAGGCTTCAAGGCGGTGACAGTCGACAAGAGACAGTACCCTCGTACTGTGTCATGATGCGAAAAGTTGATATTACCCCTTCTAAGATGTATATATTGCCGTCTACCATGGAGACTAGCAATAGGACCATACGATGTTTTGAAGACCACAAGGAACGTTTCCTAAGGGTCCAATTCAATGACGAAAATGGAAAACTTACATCATCAAATGGAGATAACCATATATCAACCCTCAATCAGGTTCACCATACTCTCGTGAACGGGAAATAGGAAATACGAAATTTTGGCCTTCTCTTCAAGCCAGCTACGGGATCTTTCTTGCTGGTTCTTTGCCCCTACAGAGGAATTAAACGCTGATAATAATACGCAATTGGATGGGGAATTTAAGTGACATCAAAGTAGTGGCAAAATACACTGCACGCATGGGACAATGCTTTTCAAGTACTCGCGCCGTGACTCATCTACCTATGAACAATATTCGATCCAACAACGACATTACGAGAAACGGATACAATTTTCCCGATGGCTGTGGCAAGATCTCACGAGCGCTATGCCAACAAATTGCCGAAGTTCTTGATTTAAAAAGCATTCCTTCTGCTGTCCAATTCTGTCTTGGTGGATACAAGAGTGTTTTATGCATGTCTCCGCGTGTCCGGGAGAAGCAAATCCAAGTCAGCGCAAGTTTGATTCGCCACATACGGAACTGGAAGTGATAAGGGCGTCAACATTTTACCTGCATATTTGAACAAGCAGGCTATCCACTCTCAAAGTCCCCGATGAGGTATTTATGGAGATGAAAAATGCACAAGTAGAAGATCTCGATCGAATGCTACAGAACGAACATAGTGCTATGAAAGTATTGTTAATGAATGGGTTTCTCACGTCGATTAGCTGATATGGTCAGAGCGGGCTTTATGCGACAACAGGACCCTTGGTTAGCCAATTTATTATCGCTATTTCGTATATCATGTCTTCGTGAACTCAAAAATAAAGTGAAGATATTTGACTTCCTAATGATCAAATATTAGGAATAGTTTCGTTTTATATCTCTTTACAAAATAGAACAATATAAACATTTGCTTCATCATATATATACACGCTTGCGTTTTATGCTCTTGTATGGGTTGATATAAAAAATAAAAATAAAAAATTTTTTGATAGTAACTTTGATAATTTAGTCAAACTCGGTGGAAAATAACGAATTCCTCATCGATCAAATTTCTCAATTGATCTACGATAAATCTTTCAACTTTGCTCTCGGCATC